AATGCTTCAGGAACAGACTAACATGCAAGAACGGATTTTAGAGAAGAAGACAAAGATAACAATACATTCAGGCACATGTTTTTAAATATTAATGGGATGATCTATGAAAAGTCTGACTAAATTAAAAGTCTGACTATATTACACCAAATCTAATAATACATAAGATAGAAGGAATTGAGAGGAACTCAAAAGGTACAGAGAATTTATTCAATGAATAAGAGCAGAAAATTTCCCAAGCCCTGAGGGGGAGAGCAGTACAATAAAGAGAAATTTAGAGCTGTAAACAGCTAGGAACAGAGAAGAGGCTCTCCACAGCTCTTCAGTCAAGATGTTCAAAATAGAAAGCAAAACACCATATTAGAATGCCAGCTAAATCCAAAAAGCACAAGCGCTGGAATAAAATAACATCTTGCAACAAAAACCTCAAAAGTTAAGAAAGCTTGGAATGATTTTTATATCTATCCAGCTGCCTATCTATCTGTCACCTACCTACCTACCTACCTCCATCTATTAATCCATCCATCCATATCCCGAGTTTTGAATGTAAGTAACTTTCAACCAGGTTCACGAAACCAAGCAAAGTTGTTTTAACATTGATGAAGAATGAAAAAGTAAGGCCATTTCAAGACAAACAAAAACTAAGGCAAAATATGAAAGCCAAAGCAGTACTGGAAATAATTACTAAGACAGTACTGTACATGGAACGAATAAAAAGACAGCCTCATTCCTGAAAACACAGGAAACTATATTCCACAAGATGAACAGACTAACTGAGGAAAGCAAGAAGAAAGTTGATTGTGTCCATCATAGTAACCAGGAAATGTCTAACACTAATAGGAAAGGAAGAAGAAAACCAGAAACAATCCAACCAACCACAACACCAACTAACAAAATCATTGGAAATAGCACAGAACTTGACATAATAACTTTATGGCAAACAGCCTGAATTAAAAAAAAAAAAAAGAAAGAAAGAAACCCAACTATCTGCTGTCTCTAAGAAACACACTTAGCTAGCAAAATATTCAAATTCTGAGAGCCAAAGGATGCAAATCATCCTACCAAGTAAATGGAAGCTGTAACAAGCTGGTTGAATGAGTCTCATATCTGGTAAAGTAGATTCTAAACTAAAAATTGTCAGAAGAGATAAAAATAAATGAGGCCATTTTTACTATTAATAATGGGAACAATTCTTCAAGGATATAATATCTGGAAATAACTACACATCCAATCTTTGGGCTACAGTTTCACAAAACAAAAAATAAAGATATAAAAGGTCACAGAGGTTTTCACATACAAGAATACTGTGAAACTTTGATACCCAATTAGTAAATTTACATTAAATCTTACAATAAAAGAATAGCAAAGAAAGTTCAGAGCTAAAGTATACCATAGACCAATAGGATTTAATAGATATCTACAAAATAGTCTATTCAACAGAGAGGGAACACATGCTCTTGTCAGCAATTTGTATGATGTCCTCTAAAACTGACTAAATTTTTGGCCATAATGTAAGCCTTAAACACATGAAACCGTGAAATCATTCCTCTACCTCATCAGGCAACAGTAAAGTAAAGCCAGAAATCAACAGCAAGAGAAAACTCAGAAGTAACAAACATTTGGAGACTGAAAAATAGACTTTTAAAACAGCAGTAGGTAACAAACAAACAAACAAATCAGGAAATTTAAAGATTCCCAGACTCAAATCAAAATAACAACACAACCTACCAGAACCTATGGGACACAGCAAAGAAAGTCCTGAAAGTCCAGTTTATTATGTCTAACTGATAACCCCCCCAAAAATCAGGCCTGCCCCTCAATATCACTGTTTTGGAAAAACAAGAAGCCAAACCCAAACTCAGTTTCGGAAGAAATAAAGATTAGATAGGGCAAAAGTAGTGCTATAGAGGGTAAAAGAACATTACATAAGATAGGTGAAATTAAAGCTGGTTCCTTGAAAAATTAACAAGACTGACAACCCCTTAGCCAAACTAACAAAAAAAGAGATAAGTTCTAAATTAATAAAATTAGAGATGTAAAGACTATTCTTACAACAGACTTCAACAATATCCTGAAGATCATTAAGAAATACATTGAAAATTTTGTATCTAATGAATAATTTTGGTGAAGTTGTATGCTTTAAAGTCAGCAAAATAATAAATAGTTTTCTATATATCAGTGACAAAGAAAGCATGGGAGGAAAAAAAAAAAAAGCAGATAAGCAGACCTAGCAAACACGATGGAGTACCCAGAAAAAACCTCACACAGCTATAGCCACTGACTTTTCACAAAGTTGTTAGAAGCACACATTGGGAAACCGATATCCTATTCAATAAATGATAGGGATAAAATTAGATATTTACCTGTAGAAGAATGCAATAAAATCCGTATCTCTTAGCCTGAATAAAAAACAATTGGCTTACAGGTGGACAATTATTTCAAATTACGGTATTAGGTAAAATATTTCTGAATAAGGTACAGCATAACCCTAAGAATTGATAAATGGGATCTGAATAGGACTCCAACAACAAAGGAAATTACCCTAGAAGTTGATAAAAACAACTACGGAATTAAGAAGGTTTGGGAAGCTAAAACTATCGGCAGAGAAAATAGATAGCCTATAGGCTGGTAGAAAACACCTAGCAGTTATACTTCAGAAAGAGGATTAATATGTAGAATATATAAAGAACTGCAAAAATTAAACACATAAACACACACACTACCAATGAACTGAATAGGCATTTCTAAACAGAAGAAACAAGAGTGGAAAACAAATAAGTTTTTTCATTTGTCCAATACCCTTAATCACCAGAAAACTGTAAACAAACATACCTTGAGATTCTATCTCCTGTCAGTCACTATGGTTATCATCAAACAAGCAAACTATATTAAATATGCTCAAGGGTACGAGAGAACAAAAACCTTTATTTACTGCTAGTGCCAGGGTAGCCTGATGCAGCTACTATGGAAATCCAGGAAATCTAAAAATACCATGTGATCCAGCTATTCCACTATATAGAGCATATACCCAGAGAAGGAACTCTATCTCCTACCCCAGTGATACATCCTAACACTTCTTTTTGGCAATAGTAAGAAAATTGAATTAATCTATATAATCCATTAAAATGTGGCAATATATACAACAGTATTTCACTCAGCCATAAAGAAAAGTAAGTTATAAAACTTACAGGAAAATGGATACATGTGGACATGACTATATCAAATAAGGTAACCTAGACTTGAAAAAAATATTGCAAGTGCACTCTACTCTTCCTTGCAGATCCTAGTTTTATTTTTTCTAATTAAAAAATTTCTGCATATAAATGTTTTGGCTATATGTATCTTGTGTGTACCTAGTGATCGCAGAGGCCCTTCCTATTGAACACAAGTTACAGATGACTGTGAGTTGCTACATGGGTGCTGGGAATCAGCTATGGGTACCATGGGAAGCAGCCAGAGCTCTTAACTGCTAAGCCTTCTCTTGAGCCCCTCATTCTTTCTCTCTCTCCCTCTCCTCCCATGTATGTGTGTGTGTGTGTGAGAGAGAGAGAGAGAGAGAGAGAGAGAGAGAGAGAGAGAGAAATAATTGTGGGTGTGAGAGTATATACTGATCATCACAATAGAATGGGGATAAGAAAGAAAAAGTTTCGGGAGCAGAGAAGACATATGTGACATAAAGACAGCAAGGGGACTGCCACATAGGAAAAGATACAAGGAGGGGTATTTCATGGGGAAACAAACAGGAAATTTCAACAAAAATAATTTTTGAAATGCTATAGTAGAACCAATATTTTATTCTAATTTGAAAAAGAAAAAGAGACAAAAGAAGAGTTTTCATTTCTCACTATCATGTTCCAGACCCCAGGTCAGGAACATCACACATATCCTAAAATCCTCCAACAACTAAATTTGATTACTGTATATTCCACTTCTATAAAGGAATAATTGGAAAGTTCAGAATGTTTTACATAGAACACTATTATGATGCTAATACATAATTAAACCAAATCTAAGCTTTTAGTCAAATTAATGTGATGAATGGACTCTGTCATGCATGCTTATCTTGTCCCAGTTACTGCAGGGGTAAAACCCAAACCCTCTGAGAGCTCACAGCATGGCATCACTGCAATCAAGGGAAGCAACCATGGGCGAGAAGGAAAGGCAGAGGAGCTATTCTGAGGAGAAGCCACACTGCAGAAATGCATTTAAGCTGCGAGGTCGTGAGAAGTGCACACGCTGCAGGAATGCGAGGAGCAAATGCACTGCAGGAGCACACAGTGGTGCAAGAAGCAGGGAACCTGCTAGGCAAAAGCAAGACGCTGAGACGATCTGAATTCACTTAGTGTACTCCAAAACTTTGTTTACTGACAAACTCAGATAACCGATGACGACTTGGAGTAAGTCTTAGTTTGTTTGTTTATAGTAATACACTGAGACTTTCAATCCAAAGTGGCTGCAAAAGCCAATAAATTTACAGATTGCTACTAGCTTTGATACAAAGGAGACCAGACAGTTGAGGAGGCAGACTTAGGTAGAAAAATAAGATTCATGGAAGATCATCACTTAGATTTGACTGTGCAGAAGTCTACAAAATTCCTAATATATGATTTTATACAGACTTACAGATAAACACAAACCTCGTGCATATCCATCTTGATATTTAAAAATCACAGATATTAGGCACTATTAAGACATTGCTAACAAGAAATAAAAGTTTTTCTCAATTTAGGGAGAACTGTTAAAGCACACATAATTTAAACAATTTAAAATATTCTGAGAAGGCTAAGTGAGAATAAAATACAGGTACGTTATTAGTAAATATAGACTAAGCTCTCCGTATCAGTTTAAATAACTCTCTTGCAATTAAAAAAAAATGTTAAAAATCATGCAAACAATCCCAGGACTAGAGAAAGTATTATTACTATTAGAAAGTACAGTATTTCCCTGAGTTGGGGAATTAATCCAACTTACTTAAAATGAGGAAATGATGTAATCCAACTTACATTGCTCCGTTGGTGTAGACAGTATCACTTCCTTCCACATACTGCACCTGAGCTGGGTAGACATGTTGGACCTGCTGAACTGTCTGGACCTGCTGCACCTGAAAAACAGTTATGAGGACCATGTAAGTGGTAAATACAGAACGGGCACAGCACAGAACATCCATGGTCAGGGTTAGACACAGTGCATTAGAGCCATGGTAAGGGGCAGGCACAGGGAGAATAGACCACATTAGATCTCAAAAATTTCTCCAGAATATTGATCAACAGGGATGGCTAGTGATGAAATCTCTTAGGTCCATGCTACGTTCAAGGTAAGAAACTACTTTCAAGTTAAGAAACTTGTGTGTCTAGATCAACCATAGCACATTCCAAAACAATTCTCTAATTTTCTTGTCAGTGTGCATGCACACACAGTTTTATATTTTAACATTCTGGAAGTTCCTCACTGGTTTTAATGATTTACAAAATTCTACTCCATTTTAATTTTTAAACTAAAGGCTAAATTTATTTTTAATTAAAAATAACTATGTCCACATAATGTCACTGGTATATTTATTTTTTTCACAACTGAGCTTTTGGTATCAGAAAAAAACCTGACGACCTCTTAAGCCATGAAAATACATACATACAAATAACATTATATGGACTAACCAGGTTGTATTTTACATAGTTAGGAATACACACACAATTACAGAAAAAGAGGTCTGAATTTGAATGAATTTGAAACAAAGCAAAGGAGAATTATATGAAAGGGATTATAGGAAGGAAATGGAAGTGAGGAAATGATGTAATTATATTGTAATCTCAAAATTAAATATTACAATAAAAAATCCCACAATGGAAAAACACTCAAATATTTAAAAGCACCTTAACAAATTTCATGCAATCATTTTCAAAATAACTATCACCAGCCCTTTCCTTTACTCCTACCCCACCAGGATTATTAAAAGCAATTCTAAGATTGTATTTCTTTTTATGTATTTATTTATTTATGTGTGATGTGCATATGAAGTTTGAGTCATGAGTCACTCTTTTTCTACCACATGAGTTCTAAGAAGCAAACTCAAGTTATCAGGCTTAGTGACAAGACCCTTTACCCACTGAGCCAGCTCACAGGCCCCAATGTGTTATTTCAAAGAGATAAAAATGTTTACTAAGATTTATTGCTAATAATTATGTGTATGCATGTCTGTGTGCAGGCATTGATTGAGGCCAGGACCCTGAACTGGAGCTGTAGTTGTAAGCCTCCCTACATGTGTGATAGGGACCAAACCCAGGTCTTCTATAAGAGCAGGAAACACTCTAACCACTGATCCCTTTCTCTAGTCCCAAGAGATCAAAATCATCTGATTTTGAATCTGATCTGATTCAGATCACATCATCTGAAATTCATCATTCCAATGACCCTTGTAGTGTGTGTCTGTTCAAATCAAGATGGTGACATGTTCCCCATAGTGCTATCAGATTCCTCACACCTTATCTGTAACAGTTTCTCATTTCTTTTTCTACTTTTCCTCTTAACTCTGGTTGGAGGGGGATGGGTCATTTCCTTCAAAGGCTTTCTGGCATTCTAGATTTGGTGAATGGCGTAACTCAATTTTTTTCTATCTGTTTTTTCATGTCATATAAATTGGTGGTTAAAACCTAGTGACTGGGGCTAGAGAAAGATGACATATCATTCCACTGACTAGATACGTGGCTCCCACTGTGTCCACTTTGAGCAGCCACAACCACCTATAATCTAGTTACAGAAGATTTGAGTTTCTCTGTCCTCCCAGGGCACCTGCACTCATGTGCATATATTCCCAACCCTGCTTCCCATACACACATGATTTATAAAACAAACAAAAAAAAAAAAAAAAAAAAAAAAAAAACCTCTTAAAAAAACCTCTAAGGGTTTGAAGAAGTTCCATTTTAAAAAGTTCAGTGCTGGGCTGGAGGGATGGCTCTGAGGTTAAGAGCACTGGCTGTTCTTCCTGAGGTCCTAAATGCAATTCCCAGCAACCACATGGCGTTTTACAACCATCTATAATGAGATCTGGTGCCCTCTTCTGGTGTGCTGGTGTATATACAGTACAGACATTGTATACATAACAAATCTTTTAAAAAGAAGAAGAAATGCTGAGTGATTTCTGCTGTTCCTTTCTTTTTAGTAGACTTCTACAAAGAATCTGAGTAGCAGGAAGTCTGCTGTAAAACAATCCCCTCGAAATGGCTACATAAACAAAACCAGAAAAATAGCAGTATCAATGGATATGTTGACATGGGAGGAGAAAATTCCGCAGCATACATTTTTATTCTGTAAGATGTCTTAGCGATCTTATTATTAAAATATATTTAAATCTTATTTTATTCTTTTAATATTAGCTCTATATTATATAAACTTTTACTGAAATTCTTTAAATACCTCCACTTCTCATGATCATTAAAGATTTTTACCTCTTTCTGTTTTTACAAACTACATTATTTGAAGTAATATCGCACACTATGTCTTCAGACAGTAGATTTTCTTGTAGATTTTTACATACATTTATGTCTATCTCCCTTTATATAAATGTTAAGTACATGCCTGCTTTCTTAAGGAAACATCAGTCATCGATATAAAAAAATTGGTAGTTTTTATAATTCTAGAGCAGGATAATACTTAAATGGAAATTCTCTTATTACTTAGGTATCAAACTTCCAAAATCTACATTGCTCATGTCTAATTTAATCTTGTGATCTGCTTATTAATGTCTTACAATTCCTATATACTGTAGTTCTTCTTTTTTTTTTTAAATACAACAAAATGTTTAATGAGCAAATTTCTTTTAGCAAATATGAAACTGCCACAGAGAGGAGGAGCAGGACAGAGCCCACAGGCTGAGGGTCTGGAAAAGACTAAGGAGAAGAATCAACTACTTAAGAAACCAGGTTTAGAGAACAGGAAGGACCAGAAACCGGAGGAATGGAGGTGTGGCCCTGCAAAGGGAAAAGAGCAGGGCACAGGGCCAGACAACAAAATTCAAAATAGTTTGACCATAAAATATAAACACACTATGTTCCTACCATGGGGGAAGGGAGGAGGAAAGAGGTGTAAAGAATAAGAGGAGGCTGTTTGGGAAGGGGCTCTGGGGGTCCTACCTGCCCTGCTGTGCACACAGCCCCTATCCCAGCCCTCCCCTCTGTGTAGGTGTGGGTGCATGTATCTGTGTGCACCCGCCCTAGTCCCAACTCCCCACCCCCTTAATTGCTGCCATTCCAGTTGCTGCCAGCTGTCATTCGGCTGTCACTCCTCTGCCCATCATCTTCAGAGGGGAGAAAGGAGGGTGAGGCAGGTCGGGTGAAAAGTCGCCAGCCAGCCCTGCCCCCACCCTCCCCTGGCTACCTCTACTAGAAGTGCCAACGGTGTAAGAGTCAGGGTCACAGTATTTTGTGACCACCACTCTGTTGGCGGCCGGTTAGACTCTGCAAGGCTTTCTGGAAGTGAACTCCACAAAGATCTTTCCCCAGCCAGGCACCTCGACACCGTCCACGGCAGGGGATTTCAGTGGACTTGGCCAGCCCATGCTTGCGGCACTCGTCTCGTACATCCTCTATGATCTCCTCATACTCCTCGTCGTCTAGCAGCTCCTCAGGCAGCACCGTTCATGAGGCACAGGACCTCAGTTGGGGGACTGCCCACTGCACCTAAGAGCTCATCAGTCCAGGCACTTGAAGGGTTACAGGTGTCTGACTGATGGTGCTCAGCATGGCATGCTTGGCTCCCATGCTCACCCTCTGGACAAGCAGCTTCCTGACCCCTACCTGAAACCCATTCAGAAATGCAGTGGCCTGATCTGTAACGTTGATGCCCACATACAGAAGGCGTAGCCCTTGGAGAGCCGTGTGGCACTATCTTTGACCAATTTGAAGGCCTTGAGAGGCCCAAAGGATGTCAGCAGCTCTTTCACCTGGTCATCATCCAGGTAGTTGGGCACACCCTCGATGAGCAGTTTGTGGGCAGAGTCTGGGACTACAGTGGACACAACTCCAGGCACATAAACAGAGGGGTTCTCTGACATGCCAGCCAGCGGCTGGTAGTCGTGAGGCCTTCGAATCTTCCATGACTGGCCCTGGAAGATGATGCTATCAAAGGCCATGGCTTGGGTTGTCTCATCCACTGACCGGAACTCCAAAAAGGCAAAATTCTTGTCTTGATTGATCTACACAGTCAAAACTGGTTGCCAGGGGCCTGGGTCAACTCCCCTAAGCACCTTTGGGCATTGAAGATGTCCATCATAGCCTCCTCAGTGATGCCAAAAGGGAAATTGCCCACGTAGAGACGTCTGGCCTGTCTGGTCATCTGCCTCCCAACCACAGGCACCGGGCGTTGGGGTCACAAGCCAGATCATCAGGAGTCATGGTGGGGAGAAGGGCAGTGGCTGGAATATGACCCGCAGCTTGCTTGGCCTTGTACTGCATTGGGGTGATGTGCTCAAAGCCAGGTGGTGACACTTCCCAGGATTTACGGACCCCTTTCTTCTCATGGCAGGGGTGAAGGAATCAATCCACTGTGATCCTCTTGTCAAAGGTTTGCCCTCCAGCCCGGAGTTGGTGCCAGTTACACCCATCTCGGCTCCGGCTCCTGCGCTTCCGGTCCCAGCTTTCAGTTCGGCTGTGGCTACACTTCCGGTGCCGATTCTCCCAGTCCCGTTCTCGTTCATTCTCGTTGAGCTTAGTTGGCCGCGAAGGGCCCTGTGCAGAGCTATGCTATAGTTCTTCCTTAATTGGGTTATAGTAGTTATTTTTATATGAAACATTGTATTAAATATTGAAACTTATTTATTCAAGTATACAACTAGATTTTTTATCTTCATTTATGTTACTTGCTCCAAGGAATAATCTAAATGTCTCTTCAAAAATGGCTAGATGTATATAGTGTCTGTCCCATGAATGTTTACCATTTTCTCCATTTTAAGATTATAAATATCTTCACAGTTTTAATCTTTACTTTGCTTCTTAAATTAAACTAGACTGTGTTTTTACATGTATGTTAGTCTTCATACTTTTATGCTTTTCTTTTAGTTTCTCAAAACACTTTTTGTTCAGAGAAGTTTTACTACTACAGGAAAGAAAA